CATCGTGTTATGGTCTTGGGAAGGTCTTCAACTCTATCATACTAGTAACGTGGGCGCGTCCGTGTTTCGAGAGTTCTGTGGTTTGCTGACAGCGTTCGAATCTCTGCAGAAGCTACTGGATATGGCGTTGGTTCTCCTTCCTCAATGCATTCTTATAAGTTTCTTGTACCGTGTTCCTTTCTGGTAACTCGCTCGCATCTCTGGCCTGTCAGTGACTCACCGACTGGGATTTTGTGCTCTCGCAGTTTGCATGTCCGATCGAGATGCTTTGGATGCGGCTGCCAGCTAGTTGCATCCATAGCCAGCAAAGCTTCCAGTTCCCATCTACTGGGGATCATCGCAGGACACTGCCTCGGCTCGCTGCTAGCTTACATGGTGGACCGGCAGGCACGCACCGACTTTCTAGAATCGCTACCGAGATGGATCCTCGGCGATGCTGTCCAGTGCGAGCGAGGGGATTCGTCTTGGTGGAATTCCTTCTATCCGGAGTTCCTGGAGAAGCCAGAGCCAGCAGCGAAGGAGGGCGAGAATCCAAGAGACAACTTGGAGCGAGCGCTTGCGTACCGAGCGCTGGGCGGATTCGCTGGTGGTTTTGGAGGAGTTTCGGGTCTCAAGTGCGCCAACCCGTCGTCTCTCTCGCCGGCGTCGTCCAGCAACAGCGTGGATCATCCACAGCTAGTTTCGTACTCGTCGGACAACGAGAATGTCACGGCGGGTCTTGAGCAGCTCCCGGATTCGTGGAGCATGGGGAATGTAAGCCAGGGTCCTGATGAGCAAACACTGCAAGACGGTGATCAAGAAGATCGCGAAGAGCATTCGGCGAGCAGCGCGTCTTCACGTTTGGAGTCGAGCTCGTTGCGGAGGAGGTTCTAAGAGAACTGCAAATTTCTTCCTCCGCCAAAGGTTCTTCTTTTTTTTTTTTCCCCTTTTTCTAAAGCCTTGTTAAAAGAGTTTGTACTTTTTATTTTTTTGATCGATCGATTGAACAGATCAAATACAAAAAGTAAATTTCATTTGCTTTTTCTTCTTTCTTTTCCTCTTGTTTTTAGTGCTAGCAAGAATTTCATGATGCCTTTTTTGAAAGACAAGCTCTCAACTTCTGCTCCACTTCAAGGTGGCCTGTACAAATTTCACTTTAGAATTGTATCTAGATTCCGTAGAGCCTAGCTAGAAAATTACAAACAAAAAAGAAGTACAAAAGGCAAAAGAAAAAAAAAAAAAAAAAAAACAGAACAAAAAGAAAGATAAAAGGACTCTTGATATGCAATACCTGGCATTCTCCAGAAATCTGGTTCCAAACCATTCCCATCAATATCCCTGTGTGCAGGTGTCATGTATTTCCCAACAGTCAAGATTACACCAGAGCCATCGTTGAACTCAAACACAGACTGAATCAGGCCCTGCAAGATATGCAAGAAAATCAGTGAAACCATCATTTCTTTTTTTAGTCCTTACTTTCCCAAATGTCCTGCTACCAGCTAAAACAGCTCTACAGTTGTCATGGAGAGCAGCAGCCATCTGAAAAGCACCAGATTTCCAAGCATATTATATTCGTTTCTCTGCACAAACTTACAATTTCACTCGCACTGGCTGTCCGGTTGTTCACTAAAACCTTGACAAAATAGAATGAAACGTGAGCACAACACAAGCCGGTTGGAAGAAACAAAGCTTACGACGAGGGGCGCTCGCAGGAAAGGTTGGCCTTTAGCTACAATACTTTGTAATGACGCATTATTTCTCCTTGTGGTGTATATAACCTGCGCGTTATGTCAAAGCCAGATGGTTTAAAGAGATGATAGATTTTTACTCACGGTTTCCCCGTCGTCCAGAAACAACTTGGCCACTTCAATACCTTCCTGTAAGGTCCACCAGCGTTTCACTTCGAAGCCAAATAAGCCACACTACTCACTTGGACGAGGCCACCCAAGTTGTCTCGCAAGTCAAGAACAAACGATGAAGCACCTGATGCTTGCAATCTCATCAAAGCTGCAACAAGTGCTTTCCTGGTTAGAGGCGAATCAATGTTCCAAGAGTTTCAAGATCAGCTAGTTCTTACCGGTGACCAGGTCCCGCTTTGTCAAGGCATTGAACTCCTTGAGCCGAACATAGCCGCGGCGCTCATTAGCGACATCAGAACGCTCTAAACGGTAGAAAACAGGGCTTCGCAAGTCTTGCTGGCGATAGAGCACGTAACTTTGGACGTCTCCACATTGAGACCGTCGAACCTGGACGTGGAGAAACTCTTAGCGTATCAAGAGAAAAGAAGAAAACATAGAATTCGAACGATACCTCGACTGAAACAGGAGTCCCTTTGCGTCCTTGGATCTCAGATGAAACCGCAAAGGCCGATTTTCCAGCCACACTATTTCCATCCACTGAAAGTATCTCGTCACCCTGGAAAAAAGCAGCAAATTGCCACGCGAAGATCAGAACTCGAGTGAAAGCCACTGACCAACCTGCTGAATTCCAGCCAGCTCGGCTGGGCTTTGAAGAACAATACCGAGAACTCTAAGCTGGATTTGTCCATTTTCATCCGGTACCTCTCCGATATTCAAGCCCACGCCTGTGATATCGTACTTTGAGGTTTGGGAAAACTGTCCTGCATGCGAGAAGAGAGTTAGCTCGCAAAGTCTCAAAGCTAGAATTTTTCTCTTTTGTTTTTTTTACCTCATCGGGAGTTAGAAATCGAGTAAATGGATCGTCGAGTGTAGCAAGCATTTCTCTGATAGCCGAGTACGCAGCCTTTCGATTCTGGAATGGCCTCTGAAACACCTTTTCTTTCTGAGCCTGTAGAAGCGAGAATGAGATTTTCCTGCAAAACCAAAGAGAAGAAGCTATGGAAGTTGGAAAACTTACCAGCCACAAATCCGGTGACCACTTGTGGTGCCTAGCATCAAGATAGAAATCATTGACGAGCTCCCACGCCGATTCCACAAGAGACTCATCCGTTACCTCCAAGCTCGACGAGGCGTCGGGAATCCCTCCCGCTAGAGAAGAAGACGCGCAATCTTCCCTCACTGACGATGATTCCACCACTGCCGGCGCCGCTAGGGCGGGATTTTCACTCAGGCTTACCCCGGCCGAGAAGAAGAGCGCGACGACGGCGATGCCGGCGGATTTGCAAGCGCGGGAGAGCGAAATCCTCGCCTGCTCGTCGAGATCCAGCGCCATTCTCCCGCGAAAGCCACGCCATTGCCCCTGCCAATGCGACGAGCTCGGCTTCCAGAATCCGCGAGGCGATGGAAATGCCGCCATAGCCAAGGGTGGCATTTCTCCCCTTTGTGAAAAGGGTTTTGGGTTCTAAAAGAGAATATCCCATTTTTAACATTGCTCTGTTTTTAGGGTTTATGCGAGCTTCCAGCCATGGCAGTGGGCTTGCTGCCGGCGCTCGCGATCACGGTCCCTCCTCCTCCTTATTTCCGATGTGAGAACGCGCGTCTCCAGCGCCAGCATTTCTCGGCATTGCGATCGACGATTCTTCTCAATGTCAGGTAATATTTTCTCTCCTTGCTTGCTTTGCGAAAGAAATGGATCCAGGCAATCCAGGCGGCGATCCGCAAGCGTTCCAAGGCGCAGCGCAGCCGCCGATGATCGGGATTTCTTGGAAGAATCACCGCCAGTAGTGCCGCAAAAGCAAGAGCAGCGGTGGAGGATTGGATGGAAGTGGCTGGGGGTTGTCACCGGTCTCACGGGATTTCTCTTCGTGGGATACATTGCCGTAAAGAGAGTGACATCGGTGGATGTATCGAGCTCCACGCAGCTTGCGCGTAGCGGCTCGGGATTTTCCTTCACAGCCAACATTTTCGGGAGGCAAATCTTTTTGGGAGAGCGAACTCCCGGGTAAGCATGCAAATGCTTCTTTCCTTTCGGTCTCTCTTATTCTTTTTTCTTCGTTCTCGTGTAGGTGGATTTATTTCCTCTTGCTCATGGCTGCTGGATTTGGTCTCTTTGTGAGTGAGGAAGCGCTCGTTGTCTGGGTTCGTGATGGTTTGCTTTCCTTCTTTCGTTGTATCGATTCGAATTGGAAGTTTTTTTCAGGTTGGAGCAGCCATTGCTCGTAGCTTGACTTGGAACTCAACTCGAGAGGTTTTTTGGTCTTCTGTCTCGCAGAATGGAACTTTCATTCTGTCGACGATCTTGTGGGTTTACTGGTGGGTGGTGTTTTTATTTTTTGTTTTCAACCTTGACGTTCTATCTATGACTTTCAGGGGAGTGTGTATAAGCGATATGGTTCCATTCTACGCTGGAAAGCTCACAGCGCAATCCGGTTCTGGGGAGACTTTCCGCAGCAAGGTGTGCTAAAAGTCGATTGAGTCTTTGAGTGAAAACGATTTTGCAGCTAGGAATCAGCAGGGAGAAGCTAGAAGAGATCGCTAAAGCTGTTCAACGCTATGGCAACGTCATTGGTTTTGGTACGCTATTCTAGTGCCCAACTTTCTCTCCAAAGTTAACTCTTTTGATTTTGGCACCAGTCGAGCGATTTTCAGTTGGAGCAAGGAATCCAACTTCATTTCTCGCCGGAGCCAGTGTAAGTAAGTTCTTTGCCTGAAACTTAGCTTCTCTAACATATAAGTCACGTGTGTTCTAGGGGATTGAAGCCTCGAAGTTCTTTGCGGGAGTTTGCTTGGGCGGCCTTCTGACACTCCCATTACAGGTATATATATTTGCGTTTCTAAGATCTGGGAAACAAAAACCGTGGGCTCCTTGTCACAGATGAGCGTTGGTTTCATGCTTCGTGATCGACCAGTAATAGCATTGGCAGGAGTAGCAGCTTTTGTGGTACTTGAGATTTTACCAGCTTCGCTGCAAAACTTAGTGAATTTTTTTTTTCTTTCTCAGGGAATTTGGACCGTGTTTCCATACCTCACTGCAACATTTCTCTCCATTTTCTACTTGCAAACGAGTCAGCAACAGCAAACCTCCAACACTAGAACTGAGGAAACAAAGGGAGATCAGGAAACAAAATAGCGACAATCGCCATCGTTCCCACAATTTTTATGTGAGTGAAATCCACTTTTATTTCTGAAAATTCACTTACAGATTTTTCAGCAGAGAACACAAGGAGATTGAATTCAAAGGAAACCAAAAATAATGAGCCGCTGGCCTTTTATATCACATTGTTGTGTGTTCTACACCTTTTGGGAGGTCGGGAACGCCATTGTGACGCCTCCTGGACTGTCTTTCCACTGCGTCGTCACGGTTTTCATGTGAGTAAAGAAGTGGACTCCAGCCTTGCCTGCGAATCCAAGCAAAAACTTAAGAGCTCGAAACGTTTCCACCACCTTACCATAGAAGTTGAGGTCGCCCGCAAATGAACCCCTCGAGCCCGTGAAGGAGAAGAATGGTAAAGGCACTGGAATTGGGACGTTGATCCCTACCTGGAAAGATTTAACGCTTGGATCAATAAGATGTTTCACTGGAAAGAGAGAATTCCGACCTGGCCAACATCAATCTCGTGTTGGAACTTCCTCGCTGCCGGGCCCGACGTCGTGAATATGGCAGTCCCGTTACCGTATCTATACACGATCTGATTAGAATCATCGCGAGCGAAACTCAAAAAACGTTCTTACTTGTTACTATTTACAATTTCAATCGCCTCTTCAAGTGTCTCTGCCTGCGTTGGGATTGTAAGTACTCATGTAACACAACCGAGACTTGAATCAAACTCACCTTTAAGCAAAGTAAAACTGGGCCAAATATCTCTTCCTAAAGTGACAACTGGTGTTCAGTCTTCACGACATTCTTATCAAAAGAGACCATACCTTGTAGCAATCCATGTCTGGTCTAACATCGGCTAGTATAGTTGGCCCAACAAAGTTTCCACTTGTAAAGCCGGGAACCTGATACGTCTTGTAAGTTCTCTCTCTCTCTCTCGCGAGGAACCAATGCAAGTGCCTACCTCGACATTTCTACCATCAAGAACAACTCGCGCGCCGTCTTTCAGCCCACTCTCGACGAGGCTGCAAATACGCTCCTTTGCCTGAACTGCCAAGATCTAGTTAACCACCAAAAGCTACTAGTTGCTCTTACCTGTTTACTTATAACTGGGCCAAGATCTGCACCGGGCTCTGTGCCACAGCCGATTTTCAATTTCATTGCCCGCTGTTTCAAGCCCTCTTCCCTGTGTAGACGACGACGAGTAAAAAATATCATACAAAGGGAAAAAAGTTGTTCTTACCAAGGCTTTGAATCGCCAACGAATACTGCAGTACTGATGGCCATACAACGCTGGCCAGCGGCTCCAAAGGCAGCACCAGTTAAAGCATTCATTGTCGCTTCAGCCGATGCATCAGGCATAATCACCGCGTGATTTTTGGCCCCCATGTTGCACTGAGAATAACACTCGGAAATGTTGGTTTCGGTTCAAAGCCACGGAGACAGCTTACCTGAACTCGTTTGCCCGTAGCAGCTGCACGAGAGTAGATGTGCATGCCAGCCTGCGTTCCAAAATAAAAATTATTAAAAGATGGCATTCACTCTAAACCGACAAAATTTCACGACAAACCAACCTTGTCCGATCCGACGAAAGACACGGCCTTGATGTCTG